CGGAACTTGGCTAACCCCCTCGCCACCGGGCGCTTCCCTCCGGGGCCGATTCCCCCGCCCCTTCCCTCCAGAAAGTACGCACGGCGGGTCGGTACGCTCGGCTCCGCGATCCTGCTCCCGCTCCTCTTCCTGCCGCCGCCCCGGTGGCACCTCCTCGCCTCTTGTTGGCGCCCCTCGCTGGCTCCTCTGAGGGACCTGGGACAAGCAGGAGAGAGGCGTGAGCAGCGGTGGCTGTCGCGGCTTCCGGAGTGAAAAAACCGGCCTTTTCGAGTCTAGTCGTCACCACTCTGTCCCAGAGAGACACCAGTCTCTCCCTCCGAAAGCCCGCCCGGGCCTCGCCTCCACAACCCCTCCAGTCACTCTTACTCGGGAGAGGGACGCGCATCCGACACCCAGAGCGCAAAGTCTTCCCTCTCCCCTGCCCCACACTAAATAAACCCAACCGGCCTCCCGCCCTCCGCCTTTCCCGAGGAGACTCGTCTCCCCGCGCCTAACTTCTTGCTTAATCCCCAATTCCTTCCCTACCAAACTTCTCCTTTTCCAGGTTCCTTCCCGCACCGCCTCCGCGGAAGGTCGGCCTCCGGGTGTCTCCGCCCCCGCCCGGACCTCTCTTCCCGGTCCTGGTTAGGATGCGAGGGAAGTTTCAGGTTACAGGACTTTTTGATCTCTTCTTGTACCTTCCGGCATTAGCAGAAAGTGGAGCTACAACTGTCGCCCCCCAGCCCGCGCCCCGCCAGCCCCTGGGATCCCAAAGGGGTTCAAGTCATCTCCAAAGAGGTGGGGAGAGTCTGGGAACAAAGCAGCAGTGGGACTCTGGGTCCAGTGGCAACCCGAACCAACGCTACTCTCCACCCGAGTATGGGGAGGGGCCCCAACGACGCCTGCCCGTTCTCTCCCAGGCCGCGGGCTCCCACTGCTCACCTCCGCGCCCGCCGCCTCCAGAACCAACTCAGTTCCACCAGAGTAGCGACGACTTCCCGGCTGCGCGCTGCGGGCGCCGACTCTCTTCGCACCCCAGCCCCTGGCCCAACCTCCCAACCTCCGCAGCTGGGAAAAACCAACCCGGGGGGCGGGGGAGGGCCAGGACTGACGGGGAGACTCCCGCCGTGCGGCCAACCTCGGCAGTCGTAGGTAGGGGGATTTAAGAAGAGAGACTAGGGGAGCTGGGCTGCGCGCTTCCTCCTGGTGGAAATTAACGAGGAATGTGCCCAAAAAGGTGAGGGAATCCCTTTCTCTCCCCCCTCCCCGACATCCTTGGGTGGTTCCTCATTTTGCATACTGTATTTACCTTGGACAGGAGCAAAACCGCTGGTGAATCTTGTGGAATTCACCCTGATTCAGGCACCTTTGGCAGTGACGAGATAGATTTAGGCATGACAGAGCAGCGCGAAGCAGCACCAGAAAGAAATGAGCTGAAAATCTACAGCGGCAGCAGCAAAGGCACTGCAGGTTGTATGAAAGCTTCAGAAACTCTCCCCATCAAAGTGGTACCTGAGGTCGTAAACTTCAGATTTAGGTGTAATTAATGCCTTCCCGCCTGTTCCCCCCACCCCGCCCCCTCACTTCTTGGGTAGTGATGGAACTTGTGAAGAGAGCGCGCCAACTTTAAGAGAGAGAGAGAGAAAGAAAGATTAGTGGAGAGGAGATTCATTCCTGATTCATTAGCTTTTCTCTTACCAAAATTAAAAGCAGATGGAAGAGAAAGGCAGCCAAAGGCATCCCAGAAACAAAAGGCAAATAGCAAAGACTTGAGTCACCCGGAAAGCGGACCCGCCCCTCTCCCCAGATGTAGCGCGGTGTGTCAAGTCACTTCTGCGGGGAGAGCTGCAAGGGTGGGGAGTAGGGGTTGCAGGAGCTGACCTGAGAGGGAAGTTTGGTTTCAAAGTCGATTGTCCCAGGGGGGCATCTGGCAGGTGGTGATGGAGAGGATGGGGTTGGGGAGAGGGACAGATTGAATGATTGGTTACAGTAAGGCTCTGTTATTATACCAGACAGGTTTTGGGTTCTGGAAGCCCTATCGTTGCTCTAACTCCATATCCCTTTGTCCCAATTAAATAATTTCCCCGAAGGGATAAGAAAGTGCTAGTTATTCCAGGCTTCTTCATTTTAGAGAGAAAATAGCAATTAGGGAAAACATGGTTCGGAAATTTAAGACCTGGTCGTATAAAAAAGATCAAATAAAGATGCTGAGGCTTGTGCCTGGGACATGTGCCTTTAGTGTCAAGAAAGACCCCAATTCTCGAATGGATGCCTGATTACTTTTATAGAAAGAGTCTGCAAAGCCGACAGCAAAAATGGCTCAGACAAAAGCTGAAAACACTGGAAACTGCAGAGATTTGTGCACAAAAGCTGGTTTCATTAATTTGCATCTTCAGCACGTTTATCTACATCTCTTTTCTTATTTTTAAAAGTGTTTTGCAACATGAATGTAAAACACTTTGAAAAAGAATCTCTAAAGCTGTAGTCATGTTCTGTATCCGGATTGTGGTGGTGGTTACATAAACCTATACAACGTGTTAAAACTCACAGAACTTTGTAAACCAAAAGAGTCAATTTTACTGTATGATAAGTTTAAAAATAAAATTAATTACTCATTGGAAAAAACCTGTAATAATGCTCTGGCGTGATATTAACTCTGGTCCTGATCTGAAGACCAACTGCTTTGTTAGGAGAGTGAGATACACTTTAAAATTTAGAAACATAATATATGTATTTTCATCTGATCCTCAGGACAACTCAGAGGCAAGATAAATATTGTTAGTGTTATTGCTTGTTGCTATTATTGTTGTTGTTCTGTTGTACAAATGAAAAACCTGGGGCTTTAAGTTAGCTTGACTGAGTGTCTTCCACTTGCCAAGCCCTGTGCTGATCACTTCACAGATATTATCTCATTGACTCTTCACATCAGTACTCAAGTTAGGTCCTCTCACTCCAGTTTTACAGACAAGAAAATTGACGCAAAAATAAATTACATAACTTGTTCAAATGAGTGATGGAGGTGGGAACCAGGCCCAGATTTGCCTGCCTCCCATATAGTACATCCCACATTCTGCCTCTAGGCAAGATTAAGGAGTCTGTGCAAAGTTCTACTCTGTTCCACTTAGGCAGAACGTACACCTCACCTCTTGTTCCCTTTTTACTTCTGCCTCCACCTTCATGCAGCTGGCAATTGCTTATGGCTGCTGAATAGGGACCCAGAAACTTAGGGTCATTTCTAGCTCTGACACTTGCCTGCTGTGTGTCTTCTATAATAGGACCACTAATGACATTTGAAGACATTTCCATGAAAATTGAGATAAATATGTAATGTACTTAGCAAAATCATCTGTTTTGATTGTTCTTTCCACATTACCCTCCTCATGTTATTTATTGTAATCCACTATATCTCTGTAACTGTGTTAGTAATAGGAATACAAGGATAAAAATTTAAATTCTCTTTAAGGTAGAATTGCCAGATTTAACAAATAAAAATACAGGGCACTCAGTTAAACTTTAATTTCAGATAAACAATGAATACTTTTTAAGTATGTCCCATGTAATATTTGGAAACTACACCCAAAATTTTGTTGCTTACAGTTGAAATTCAACTTTAATTGAGTATCCTGTGTTTGATCTGGCAATACAGCAGTTGATAATCTGGTAGAAGAAAGAAATAGACACAGAAACAAAAGCTCTCAATGCAGAATTGAGTATGGTTTGGTGTGTATATCTTTCCAGTCAATGCCCTCTCTCTTTGTAAATATTTCAGTTCTGTTTCTGCTATTTTTTATGTGAATGGGATCATAGTATATGAATTATTCACACTTTTTCTTTTTTAAAAGCAACCATCTATCTTTCTGTGTGCATACACATAGGTATGCTTGTCCTTTTTTAAAGACTGAAATATTTCAAACTGTAGATTGTTGTACCACAATTAATTTAACAGCCTTATTGAAAGACATTTAGATCAGTAACTACTTTTTGGAGAAGTTTCCTTCAAGTGAGAAAAGCTTACTAGGATCAGTTCTATTTTGATTGTCTTAAGCATTTAATTATCCCAAATTATCATACTGACTTTACTCCTGACAGCTTGAAAATTTTTTGTGCATGATGCTATTTACATACTCTAAGGCAGGGCAGAGGATTGCAGAGCACATTTTTCCCAATTTATTCTTCTATTCCACAGTGAGATAAAGGAAGGATCTGAATGTCCCGACAGATAAGAACCAATTTAGTGTATTTCAAGAGGTCACTTTGTAGCCTCTAGAAAATGTTTCTATACTATCATTTATTTAGAAGATTGTTTCTACAGGGACCATTTTTCTTCTAATGACCCAGAGGAAAGTCATTAGTAAATTATTGAAATATTGCTTCTAAATCCTGATTAGGCAAGGAATAAGATAGGTATAAAAAGAATGATGAGTGGTTATGACCACCCTTATGGTAACTAGCAGAGAGAAGCCATGTGGTCCAGCATGGACAAACACCAAGATTATTTAAGACTAGTTCATTTTGATCTCTGTCACAAATTAGCAAAGGAACTGAATACATGTGAACACTGTCAAATCTGAAAAGTAACTAAAACAAAGTCAAGGGTTGGTGAACAAGCAGCACATATGTCAAAAAATCATGAACCAACACTTAAAACTGCAACCATCAACTTGAGGGTCAATTTGACCAAAAAAAAAAAAAAATTACACATGTATATATGTATATTCATGAGGAAATAATTTTTTAAAATTATCAGTGATAAAAAAGAAAGCTTCAAATCACTTTAGAAGGAATAGACTTCTTTTCTGAGATGTGTAAACTGAATGAAGTAAAATATAAACTAGAGAATGGGTCAAAAGGAATGTATTTGTCTCATCAGTCAGTACAGTAAGTGCTGCAGCTAGTAAAAGAAAAATATAGCCCTCTATATCTGTGGGTTCCATATCCCTGGATTCAACCAACCACAGATGGAAAATAAAAGAAAAAAAATGAGTGATTACATCTGAACCAAACATGTGTAGACTTTTTAAAAAAATTATCATTATTTCCTAAGCAATACAGCAGGGCATGGTGACTCATGCCTGTAATCCCAGTACTGTGGGAGGCCGAGGTGGGTAAATCACTTGAGATCAGGAGTTTGAGACCAGCCTAGCCAACATGGTGAAACCCTGTCTCTACTAAAAATACAAAAATTAACCAGGTGTGGTGGCACACACCTGTAATCCCAGCTACTGGGGAGTCAGAGGCAAGAGAATCCCTTGAACCTGGGAGGCGGAGATTGCAGTGAGCTGAGATCGTGCCACTACACTCCAGACTGGGTGACAGAGGAAGACTCCATCTCAAAAACAAAACAACAAAAAAATACAGCATAAAAACTATTTACATAGCATTTACATTGTATTGGGTATTATAAGCAACCTAGATGTGATTTAAAGTATATAGGAGGATGTGCACAGGTTATATGCAAATACTATGCCATTTAATTTAAGA